CCCCCCCCCGGAGGGGAGCTAAAGATGAAAGTATATGTAAAGGGTTATTTAAATATCTTGTTCAGGTAAGTCCATGCCTCCCTAATTATTCATGCAATTAGTGTCCTAAAATATCCACCATCTAACTATCTTTAAACATTTAAATATATTTGAGACTGTTTATTCAGCAGTTCTAACAATGTAACTTCTGAGTTTTATGTATAACTATCTTCTGTTGCAGTGCTAGAAGGTCAAACTAAATATGTGTCAGCTTCAACTCAGGCTTCAAGCAGCTGAGCTGCAAAGGAACAAACTATTGCTAAAAATTTGAACTTTATAAGGAGTATGAGCATGGACGCTGTTGTAGTTACATACCTATTTAGGTCTTAGAAAATCGGGGTTCCTTTTCTTACTAGGTTGTGAACTTCAAGGGCTACTTTGAGCAATCCATGAAATGAGTACAGTACCTGTGTTTTCAGACGTTTGACTGGTGGAGCTATCTGACTGGAAGTTACTTGTAAGACAAGTACCTTAAAATTGTTAACATTTACAGTTCTGTAGTTGCATAGAGGTACCAAATGTCTCACTTCATCATGGACAATAACAACCCCAAAATGCTGGAAACAAGCAGTTTGCTCACAAGGAAGATGCTGCTTGCTGGTTTGGAGTTGTTTCACAAGCACAACATACTTCTGTTTTGTTTTTGTAAGGCTTTCATGGATTTCATTAGTGTTTCTGGCTGTGACTCCCAATAAAATTTGCAGATCAAAGAGGAAAAACCATATATCTCAAAATTAAAAAACAAACAAACAAAACCGGTACTGAAGTATCTTGCACTTAATTTCATTTTTTTTTCTTTACAGATTGATTAAAGAAAATAAAAAACATCAGGAACTGATTTTGGAAATTTGCTCAGAAAAGGACAACTTAAAAGATGAATTGAAAAAACGAACAGAAACAGAAAAGCAGCACCTCAACATTATTAAACAGGTACAGATAAAACAGAAGTGCTGGTTAGTATCTCACCTGTATACAATGTCACTATTGCCACTGTTTAATAAGATGTCCTTGGTAGCATAGAGGAGAAGGAAGGAATGCCCGTGCTTATTATCCTAAGCTTTTTAAGAGGATAAATCTGCTCTTCCATTGCAAGAAATATTATTCATTGGCTAAAAGTGTTTAGTGTCTTTGGATAAACTGACTTTCTAGATTAAGATCACTTAAGTGTTCTGTGTCTGGAAGTCTCTTTTAAAGTCAAGAGAGTTAGTGTTTTGTGGGTTGCCATGGTGGGTAGGTTATGTGTACCTTGGCTTCCTGCTGGAGACGGTGTATGTTGAAGGCCTGTTAGACCTTTTTACAAAAAACGACAAGTTCATAAATCATCCTATCGTCCTGATAGGATGATTTATATCTTGTATGTAGACATAAAGGAGATCTTATGCAAGTGTTTTATCAAGCCCAATTTCTTCTTAATTTGTCGTCTTTATCTTCTGTTGTTAACTACTGCATCTGCTAATAGAAGTGGATGGGTGTGTAGTTACAGTTGTAGACGTTAAACGTATGTGGAACATGTATAAAGAGCAGAGCATGTTAACTGTGGTCTTGCACATTATTTTGGTATTATGAGTTACTGTATACAGGCATTTCCCCAGTGAATTGTTAGAACCATGACAGGCAAAAGGGGAACACAGAGTATGCGTTGGTGTAGGCTGGTTTTAGTGTGGGAAGAAAAGGTATCACATCAGGTGTCATTGCTTGTCAGTTACAAAGTTACCTGCTAATGTTCCTACAGTTGGTTGGCCTGGCTGTATAAACTGATTACAGCTTAGAAATCTGGCAAGAGATAGCATTTAAATTACTAATTTCTGTTTGTCAAAGTACTGGTAATACTACCCTAGTTGTCAGGTTTCTCTGTTAATGTCTGCATCACACAGAAATCTGTTCGCAAAGCAGTGTGTCAGGCTTGTGGTGTTCCAGAGGAATGTATTGATGTAGGTAGAAACTTTGGTTAATTTCAAAGAATCTTTGAAAATCCATGATGTGATTGAAAATGGAATTTAAAAGTCTTATTTTTAAGCTACAAATGGAATTGCATATGCCTGAATAAATCAGTATGAGCAGCTTACTCATTCTCTCTTGTCTGTATTTCCATGATAGCACTGTATGATTTCATGAAGCTATATTATGCAGCGATTGCTTTATCCCATTCTGGAAAAAAAAATATTTGAGGGGGTTTCTTCTGTTTTCTGGTCAGATAAGAACGATCTGTGATATTGCATGCTTGCAGGTGATTTCAGAAAATACTGGTTTGGAGTGTAATGCTTTTGTATTGTAGTTGGATAGCACCTGGAGTTGTAAGAAAGATACATTGCAGTGAAACACTTGAGGTTTTTTTGTTTGTGATGTGAGTGTTTTAATGTTATGATTTCTAAATTAGTGTTTTCTGGTAGCTTTCAAGTCAATGAAGGCTTGGCTGGGGTCACAACTGCAAGCAAACTGCACATGCATGCTTGTATGTGTAAAACTTATTTTGTATGGGCAATGATTCTTTTGCAAAGCTGAAGAGGGTGTGATCAGTTCATTGTGTGGTAACAGAAGCATTTTAGGTTGTTTTTGCCTTTTACGTAGCGGTTTGGAATTGCACAAAAATTTTAAGATACTGACCCTGATTTTGAGATAGTGACCCTGCACATTTTTACACACCACCCACCCCCCCAAAACAAAACCAAACTAACCTTGGTGAATTTGCTTTCCCCTGGCACAAGAGGATAGTCATTAAGGCACAATTTGAACAACCTTTGGGCAGCATTACAGCTTACATAGCCACCACTTGCTTTTGCGCTAGTGCTGCTGCTTTCTCTACTGAATCTGCATGACTGTGCAGTTAACATGCTCTGGGAAATGTTCCAGTTGAACATTGGTAATTATTCTTCAGCTGGATCAGGTCTCTGACTTGGTTCACCAGGCAGCTAAAAAAAGTGCCAGCACAATGACTAAGTGCCTCTTTATTTGCTGAGTTATTTTTCAAGGAATTAATTCCCAGTCCAGTTCAGTATGGATGCATAACTGCTTTGCTGGCACGGTGGAGAATATGGCACAGCGATAGCAACCAAAGGGTGGAAGGTGAAGCAACTTCAGAGAGCAGCCAGCTCTGCTCTGGCATCTCAGCATTTGCTGTCAATCTAATTTTTTGTGTAGTAAATTACTATGCCTTGTGTTTTACTTGATTTGATGCATCTTCAGTCTCACTGAAGATGAGAATTGACATCTTTCATGCTTGTACTGCAATGCAAAGCTAGGTGTTGATACGGATAGTTGCAGCTTGACAAGTGTAAAATACAGGTAAATATCTGTTGAAGCATCTAATTTTGTGTGAAGTGTTCCTGCCTGTACAAAACATGATCAAAGTCTTATTTTCCCTATAATTATAACATAATGTTGTCTTTTAGCTGGAAGCAAGAACAGAAGAGCTTAATAAAGAAGTGAAAGCTAGTAAAGACAAACTTTTAACTCAAGATGCAGCAGCAAAAAATGCTATTCAGCAGTTGCATAGAGAGATGGCCTTTCGAATGGAACAGGTAATAATGGAAAACCTTTAATTATTGAACACCTTGTGAGGAAACTTGGTTCTTGTAGGAAACATGCAGCCTAGATTGTTAGATCACTAGATCTAAAAAAATTTTCCAAAACTGGAACTACTAGCGTGCAGTTATACATGCATTTTTGATAACTGGCATCAGTGAATTTCTAAATAGCTGTTAACATTCTAGAGTGCCTGATAAATCTCTTTAATGTGTATGTTTGTATTTATGGAATTCAGCCCTCAAGGAAATCTCATTTTCCTTGCCTGTAAGCTGATACTGGTTCAAAAGGAGGTAAAAGCTGACAGTGGCTTTTTTCAGACAGGCTATCACAAAATTGGTATTTTTCTCAACTCCAGCACAAAGTTCTTATTTTGTCTCATGTATTAGTGAGAGCTGAGATTTTTTTTTTTCCTTCTTAATATCATATGTTGCCGAGTATTTTCTCTATTGTATGAGCTCTAAAGCTCAGTGCCTGATTCTTTTTTTTATTTGAAGCAGAATTTATTTGGAAAGGGGGGGGAAAATGTTTAAAAATAAGCCATCTGAAAAATAAGCCACTGGATAATGATTGTGCAGTTGGCACGTGGATGAGGGAAGAAAGAGGACTGGTACTGGGTGTTTGCAAAATTGTTTTGTTACTACAACTTCCTTCTGAAACAACAGATTATATTCCAAATTACTAATGTATTGATAACTCATTTGAGATGTTTAGCTGTGAAGCTGCAGCTGCTTAGATGAGTATTTACTGTTAGAAGTATGAGTAATTCCAGTACTTAAGTGGGATCTAATGTTAGTCTTTGCAAAATTGGAGCTTCTGGGTCCTACTTTGTTATGCTACTATACTGCAATAGTGAAAATATCCAGTAGTGTCTTATAAAAGCTAATTAAGAAATACAAGGTTGATTCATTCTATTTTAATATTTTTTCAAGGCAAACAAGAAATGTGAAGAAGCACGCCATGAAAAGGAAACAATGGTGATGAAATACGTCCGAGGGGAGAAGGAGTCACTTGACCTCCGAAAGGAAAAGGAGATACTTGAGAGAAGAGTGAGAGATGCAAACAAAGAAATTGAAAAGCATACTAATAAAATCAAACAACTTTCTCAGGAAAAAGGAAGATTGCACCAGCTCTATGAATCTAAGGTGCTCTAAGTATTGCTGTATGACTTGAGTGAATGATTAAAAGTACTATCAGAACAACCTTATCACTTGTTTGCTATTGTACTTGGTGAAAGAAACCTGTTTTCATTTGGTTTTCTTTATAGCTGTGAAAACCCCTTTTCTCCAAGGGAAGGGGAGGAAGTTACTGAGTTCTCATTGTCATCTGTTTGAAGTTCCTTTTAATATTTCCCTGAATATTAGTTTGTGAAACACTAAGGTTTTTTTTTGACAAAATTGAAAAGACTGTTTGTTGCAGATGCCTGGATTTTGAGGGAATGTCTAGCTTGTTTGGATTCTTTTTTTAGAAGGCTGTAATGGCATTAAATTATTGCAGTCTCTTTTGCTATTTTTCTGTGGTTTCACTCTCTATTTTCTCTTTTGTACTACTAAAAATTGGTAATAAAGCAGTAGGATTTTTCAGGCCCAATTCCAAAAATCTGCCATTTTTTAGAAACCAGTAAGAGATTCCCACCAGCCTCTTAAAATTATCCAGGTCTTTCTGTATTGTGCTTCACAATTGAATTTCACATGAAAGATCCAAAAATTGACAAATTAATGGGGTTCAGACTTTGATTTGGGCCTCTTCTGAGCAATTGTACTATGCACAAAACGATCAGAAAAATACATCTTAAAAGTCCTAAAAATTACACTTCTGAAACAAAAAATCACCTCAGTGTCCTCTTCCACGTGAACAGGAAGTGGGAGCATGACTTCAGGTTTCCTAAACAAAACTTAACATACTATCTATCTTCATAACTCCTGAGGATTACACTAGAGCCTTACGGGAATTGTACTGCCCTCATATAGTGCTGCTTTAAATTTTTTTGGTAAGATGAACCTATTACTTCAGAAACACAGTTTGGAAATTTGGCTTAATGCAGTGGTTTGTGGATAGCGGTATAGAAGGTTATGCCAGCAATGTGCTTCTGTTAACATCCTTTCTTCACGCTGACTTACAGGTTAGTGATTTGACTTGCATACATTTTGCTGTCAGTGCCCACGCTAGTCTGCACCTCTACAGTTAGTAATACCATTCCATTGGTGTCACAATTTTTGTCTGTAGCTGTGTATAATATATGACCTTACCGCTTTGAACCTGTTTCCTCATCCTTTTGCCAAAAAAGAACAAAGAGGACTGTGCAGCTCACCCAGGAGATAATTATTTTAGATCAGAACTCTAGACTGTACTTTGCCTTTTAACAGATATGTAACATTAATGTATATTAACAGTAATGCAGCCTTACCTTGCTATTCAAACCAGAACGCTGATGATTTTTTTTTTTCACCACTGGGTTATGGGCTAAAGCATTATTGAGCACTCTCAAGTCTGTGTATGCTTTTGCAAAATCCAGAAAGTAAGAAAAAAAAACCCAAACAAACCTACATTTGACACTTGAGCAGGAGTCTTGTAGAAGCACTGGATGATTTAAATCTATAAAATAAAATCTATGAAATCTTCTTAGGATGGTGAAGCCACTCGACTCAACAGAGAAATAGAAAAATTGAAAGAAGAAGTCAATTCTCATGTTATCAAAGTAAAATGGGCTCAGAACAAATTGAAAACAGAAATGGATTCACACAAGGTTAGTGAAGTGGTACGGGTACTGTGACATGAAAATACAGTCAGAGGAATGTAGTTGCTATACTGTTTACTTTTTATATAGTACTAAAATCTGTTTCTAAAGTGTTTTTTGTTTAATTTGAATACCTGCAGCAAAAGTCAGAATAATGCTCTTAAAGATATTGATATAGAAATGTTGAAAGGATGTGAGGGGAAGGTGTATCGGGGGGATTCTGTTTAATCTGGTGATCAACTTCTAATTTGTTTTTTTTTGTATGAATTAACTGTCATCTTAGTTTAGTTTTTATGTGATAGAGTTAAATCTACCATCTGAAAATGTGCATGGCACATAACCAAGAGGTCCTTTTGTTGTGCTTTCAGTGTTGGAACAAACAATTGCATAAAGTAATAGTTGAAGGAAGGAAAAATAATGCTGGATGTATTTTTGTTGTTGTTGTTAATTCTTTCCAGACTGAAATAGGAAACTTTCATTATGAGAAATGCTTTTCCCACGTTAAGTTAGATAAATAGGTTTAACCCATTTATTACTGTTTTTGTAGGAAACCAAAGAACGCCTCAAAGATGCAACGACAAAATTGACTGAAGCAAAAGAAGAAGCAGACCAGATAAGGAAAAACTGTCAAGAAATGATAAAAACCTATCAAGTAGGCACATTTTCTCAGGAGGTGAAATTAGCGTTTAGCATCTGGGTCTTCTTTTTTTGTCTCTTTCTATCTTAAGCTGTAGCAGGGAAGAATTATCCTGTGCGAGCTACAAAGCTGAGATGACTAGTCACTGATTTCTTTACTTGGAAAGCTGTTGAATAAAAGGGAAAATGTTTGTCTTGATTGGCATGCAGTGTGGGGGTCTTTCTTGGCATGTTCAGAATTACTAGATATGTACCTACAGAAAAGAGACGTAGTGATGTGAAAAGCTGTCTGTATGCTCATAAAACCAGAAAGGGGAACATAAAACTCTAAAACTGTACTTGCCTATCTTCAATCCTTTTAGGAGTCAGAAGAAATCAAATCAAATGAATTGGATGCAAAACTCCGAGTAACTAAAGGAGAACTAGAGAAACAAATTCAGGAGAAGTCAGATCACCTGGAGGTAAATATATGGTGTGTGGAGACAACACAGTTGGCAACTTAGTACTTAAGAATGCCATGAGTTTTTAATTTTGAGAATCTTATTTTAAGCTGCTTACAGTTTTTGCCAAACATTTTTCATTTTGGCCTAATACTACAGCCCAGGTGTCTGCGTCCAGCCCTGCTTTTTGGAGGATGTTTTTAGCTATTACCTCGGATGCACTTTTTAAAATCAAAGTTACGGGAAAAGGATGATATAATGAGGATGAAATAACTGCTCTTTCATTTATAAACATGAGTGTTGCTCTGATTTAGAGCACAAATTCAGATGATAAGCAGGCCTTTCTCTGACCAGCATTTTGCCAAGCTATTTGGCAAGGAGAGACAGGGAACAGCCTCTGTTCTGTGTAGCCGTTTGCTAGCCCAAAAGCTAAATTCTTTAATGATTTAGTACCTGCTCACAGCTCATATGTGCATATGCCATCTTCAGTTTGCCTAGAACTTTCCCCAGGGGCTGTTGTGGGTTAGATTTGTACACCTAAAACCAGAGTGTGTAATCTCACTTTTGTTCTCGGTTCTTCTGAGAATAAAGAAGCTTTTAGGCTTTGCTTTGCTTTTTGAATAAGTAAAACAAACCTTTAAGGGTACGTGTTCTGCCTTAAGCCGTCTCAGCTGTTGTGGTGGCCTGCATTGGCCTAGATTTTTTTTTGACATCCCAGGAGATGCCACTGTCTGTGTAGATTTCTCAAGGAGCTTCTCACTTTTTAAAAAGGTGCATCATGCAAAAATAAAAGAACTGGAAGACTTGAAGAGAACATTTAAAGAAGGCATGGATGAGCTTCGAACACTGAGAACAAAGGTAATGTGTGCTGTGTTGGATTGCAGTGGAGCTAAAGGTATAGTGTTGGGGTTTGGAACAAGACTATATTCAATCTGTTAATTGTATTTTTACTTCTTTTGGAATAAACAGTGTGATTACAGACCGGCTGGTGTGAGACTAGAAGGGATATGTAACTGTGACTCTGGGTAGCCTTTCTTAGGGAGTATCAGTTGATCCATAATACAACAATGTTTTGTTTCATGGTATGCACCTCATTTGACTGAAAAGTTGTGAGAAACATTTTAGTAAACATCTTGTAAATTTAGTAACTTTGGAAAATGAAAAATACTTGTAAACTTTTCCTACCTGTGAAGCTACTTTTGTAGAGGTCATACATATGACCTCTGGTAAGGGGTATGTACTATCCATAACTTCTGAACAGTCTATAGATTACTGTGCCGGTCCCTCTACCCAGAGCAGGGTTTTAGCTTGAGAGGATCTTAGAAAAGGGGAGGAAGACATAGTAAAGGGTTGGCTTTGTAACTGGGGAAAAATGATCTCTTTGGATCCTGGTCCATTAGACTGATAAGTTTCAGTCTTTGGACAAAACTAATGTTAATCACACTTGTTTAATTTGACTTTTTTTGCTTTTTTTGTCTGTTTATTTTGCTGACTGTATTTGATCTGAAATATTTGTTTCATCTGGGATATTGTTCTAAGCTACTTGGAATCACCAAAAAAAACCACAGGAGCTTTGTACAACAATCTAGACATTTGATCAGAATAATTCAGCTCTGAAGTTTGGGAGAATAAATAGTTTCTGTTTTTTTTTCTATTTAGGTAAAGTGTCTAGAGGATGAGCGTTTAAGAACGGAAGATGAGTTATCCAAGTATAAAGAAATCATTAATAGACAGAAAACTGAAATTCAGAATTTGCTGGACAGAGTCAAAACTGTAGATCGCCTGCAGGATCAACATCAGAGGTACAGCTGTGCACTTTGAGGAATGATTTAAATGTTTATCGGGGATGTGGAAAGGGGTTTTTGTTTTTTAATTGAAATTATTGATGCTTTGAAATGTATTGTAATTTGAAGAATCCCTGTCCTGATTTAAGTGTTTTTCTGATCTAAATCAATCTTGCTAGTACTGGAGACAACCCTTGTGGCCTCTTACAAGATGAGGGGATTGAGGCTGATAAGTTATATTCTTACATCTTTCATTATTAGAATAAGAAGTGCTTGCTTTCTGGCTACTCTGTAGGAAGTTATGTCTTCTAGGTGTCTGCCCAGTGCTCGTTTTATTGAAAGACTGGGGAAAAGCAACTGAACTGGAAAGATAGATTGCTTCAAAATTGAGATGGATGAATGAAAGTATTCAACAAAAACAGTTTTATATATTTGGCAGATGCTTTATTCAGATAGTAGGAAGCACTTGTGTTTCTGATGGACTGGAATTCATTCTGCTGTGTCAAAGTTTGCTCATTTAAGAATGTGAGGGAAATGATCTCAGGGAAGAGTTGGGTTCATGGACACTTCAGGAGTGTCTGCGCATAGTCATATTTCTATATGGTACACATGGACTAGAATATCGAAATGCTATCCACTTCACTGATTCTAATGGAGTTGCATAAATGGAGATGGACAAGCGTCAGCTAAGCAGAACGACCCATGTGTCCCTCCTGTGCTTTTAAACAGTTCTTATTTATCATTGAAAAATATTTCCGTGATTAAATGCCTTCTTCAGGGTTTAGAGAATGAAGCATTTTCCACTTGCTGTGTGCTGGTCAGCTGTATTGGCACTGTCTCATCAGCCTTTCTAGGGAAACTGCAATCTCTTAGAGATGACTGAAACTTACACTTCAATCAATAACAGTTATTTTTCACTTGGGATGTTGGCAAATGAATTAAAATAGCTGTGATCAGTGTGAAACTACAAATGTGTCTTTCCAGTTATCTTTTCCTCTCGGTAATTGAGACATGCTTAAATATCTGTCTCTTATTCCTGTTCAATTTGGATCAATTTTTTTTAAGTATCCTTCCCATACAACACTTAACTATCCCTACATCAAGTTTCATATTGTTTTTTACTTCTCCGATGTTAATGTTTTTCCAGTATTCCTGAGAATGTTTGATAAAGTTGTGGAATCTTGACCAGAGATTTAAAATTTAGACCAGTAAATTCCTGTTATCATCTATGAAAGAGAAATCCTGGAATCTTGACCTCTGTTTTTCCTATTGTGTAGAATAAATGAACTTACTGCCTTTCATTTTTCTTGGAAGCAAATGGAAGGAATTTTATCTTAATTCACCAAAATCTTAGTCTGTTTTCTTGATGAGAGAAGAATAGAGGAGGCAGGTTTCTTTAGCCTAGGAAAGAGAAGACAGAAGAGAGACATCCTTAAATGTGTAAAAGGCTATTATAAAGGAAATGTTTGGCTATCCTTGTTCACTGGAGGAAGGATAAAAATGGAGTTTTGCAGGAAAGATGACTTTAAGTTGAATGCTGGGAAGAACTTTATGGCTGAGCTGGATACCGATTACCTCCAGTGTTGCCTGGTCTCCTTCATTGGAGACCTTTAAGGGTAGCTAGAGATCTCTTTTAGGATGGTCTAAGCATTTAATTTTGGCTGGTTCAACCCTGACTCTTAACTAGAGATTTCTCCTGTCATAATGAAACAACATATTTGGAAATGTAAAATAGAAGCATAGCCTTCTGGCATAGGTTTTTAAATGGGAGCTATAGGTGACATATTTTGCAGCATAAATGGTTGAAAAAAATCTGTGCTGTAGTTGTTCAGTCTTACATCTTCTGAAAGGTAGAATTAGCCTAAAAAAGACTGTAAAGGCGGGACGCAATACATTTGATATTATCCTTTGGTACTGCAATGCTAGCTAACTTCTGTTGTCATTAACCACATGAACTCCTCATTTTGGTAGCTGGTAGCATGTAATTTATAGTAATGATGTGCTAGTAGAATTCAGTTACTTAGTTTTACAAAATTATAGTTCTTTTTCAGAATGATTAATGATTTGGATTGTCTGAGCCTCACCTCTGCTTGAAGAAACATGTTGATATGGGGTTGTTAGTTGAAAGTGAATTGAGCCTCCTGGTAATTACATTGTCTGACAGGGAATTAAATGAGATGTGTGCCCTTGCTTTGTATAACTTTAATTTTATTTTTAAATTTGAATATACACACTCCCTGTGAGAAAGAGAGGTGAGGGTTTTTCTGTTGATGTTGGAAGGTAAGGTTTTAGAAAGTTGTAGAAAATCCTATGATTGAAGAAATGAAATCATGAAATAATATTGCAAGAGCAAATGAGAGGAGGACATTTTTAGTCTGTAAGTTTTTTAACAGCTGTGTAGTTTTGGAATTAATTTCAATCACTTTCTCTAAAATGTTGATCATAACTGAAGATATGGCCTTTCTTGCTCAAATGGTTTGCAAGTGATAGATCAAGTCTCCTAATGGGAGTGCTTCAGTAGAAACAAGAACTTGTTTTGTAGAGGATTGGGGGAGGGATAATGGAGTAAGACGGGTCCTTTGAATCGGGGCTGCACTGCTTGGATAAGGATGTTTCAGAAGTCACCGTACTGCTGTTCTGGAGAAGCTCAAAACTGGAGTATTTCCCCATCTCTTAAAGACAGGTCCCCTTACAGAATGACCACCTTTGTTGGGTGTGCAGACCTTCCTCTTATCTACAGGATCTGGTTTTGAGGGTTTTGTTTATACCCTATACTGAAGCTCATGAAGTTGAATATAGAGAGATGGTCTTCCTTGAGGAAGCAATGACTGCATGTCCTTCTGTGGGATACAGATATCTGTCACTTCAGCACTGCAACATGTCATGAAATGGAATTTGCAAACTCCTTTGGCATTTAAAACCACCCAGTGACTAACAGATGCTCCAGGGTCATTAATTTGTCCCTCTGCCTTGTTTGGTCTTGACCTGAATGCTTTTATTTCAATAAGGTTTCATATCTTTAAGCTCAGCTTATCCCTAATGAGATACAATTGTTTTGACAGAGATGAACAAGAAATCAGTGCTTTAAAGGAAGAAGTAGATGGTTTCAATTCTCTGATTGCTGATCTCCAGAAGGACATTGAAGGTAGTCGGAAAAGAGAATCTGAGCTATTGATATTCACTGAAAAATTAACCAGTAAGAATGCACAGCTTCAGTCTGAAAACAATTCCTTACAGAGCCAGTTGGATAAGCTTTCTTACAGCGAAAGAGAGCTGCAGAATCAACTGGAATGTGTTCAACAGACTAAAGATGATCTGGTGAGTACAACGTGCAGCTTGTTTTTTGCACTAGCAAGATGCCTGATACTGGTAAAGATGTCGCGCGTGAATTCCACCTTGTGTCTTTACTTACCTGACTGCAATTTCTTGCTCGGTTTGCCAGTTTGATAGAATAATAGCAGCGGGATATGAACACCTCATGTTTCTAAGGGGAAAGAAATCTTGAAGCACACTGCACTGGAATGAGGGGGTGTTACTGTATTGCTCTTTCTGTTTTTCTGGAAGTACGGAGTTGTTCTCTGTGCAACTGTCATTGAAGCAATCAAAAGGTTGTAATTTGTCTGTGAAATTTATTACTGTAAACTGTTTCTTTGGTCCTCTTTGTACTGTGAGATAAATGTAATTTTTAATAAACTTAGTGTGTCATGGGAGGTAATGTGACTGCGCTGTACAGCTCTGCATGGCTGTCTACTGTATCATGTAGATGTTTTGGAGATAGTTCAGGAGTCTTACTGCAGCGTTGCACTGTGCTGCATATTAATTTGCAGTGGTAGTGTTTAGCCTAAATAATAAATGTAAAATGTGAGTGATTCGCAGGTGGAAAATAAAGTGCAGAGTTAGGGCTGTTGAGCATACAGTATGGTTAGGCTGGATTTTTTTTGTGTGTAACTGAAAATAAAACTACAATTTCAGGCCACCAAGTTGCAGAAGGAGGAGGATCAGCGAAAGCTAGAGGTTGAGACACTACAGGCTCAGCTAGCTTCAGAGCAGAAAGAACTAACAGCGCTGAAGACCCACGTAGATGAACTGAAAGATGAACTGGCTACCCAGAAGCGCAAGCATGCAGCAAACCTGAAAGATCTCACAAAACAACTTCAGCTAGGTTGAAATTATTTTCAGATATAATGAGTCAGCCCCATCTGTAAGCCCCTTCACAGTATCTGCCAGAGACTAGGGTCCTAGCTGCGTATGCGTGCTGTTTGAGTGTAGCCCTTCAAGCTCTCCCTATCCCAAAAGACAGAGTGAGTGAGCAAGTTAGATCATGGGGAAACTGCAGTTACAGGAAACAGGCCTTAGTGTCAATTTTCAGTCTTAAATATAACTTTTGAAATAGGCTTAGTTACAAAATGAAAGATTTATTTCAAAAGAGCTTGGTCTTTGTTATCATGTATGTGACTACTGAAATGTCACTGTGGGTATATATGGATCCTGGTTTGTGTAGGAGTATATTCAAAAGTTGCTAGAAGTTTCCTAGTTGCTGACTGTATCGGGAATTGCTGGTGACAGTTATTTTTTTAGTATATTAAACAAAGCACTTCAGTTTTTAAAGGTGGATATGGAGAGACTGATGACTAATTTTGTCAACAAATAGAAATCATTAAATACCCCATAATGCATATGCTCTGAATGCAAATAGATTTGAATATAATCAAATCTGTTTGAAATGTATTTGAAAGAAGAGATCTTGTTGGCATTGTGCAAGACAAGTTCCATGTCTCTCTTTGTGTATATATGAACAGCTGTGCACTTTCCCTCTTGATCCCCTACTGAATGAGTGGTGCTTCTGGCACAAGTACTACACTCAGCTTCCAGTAGTGATACAGTTGTGAGATGCCATTCTGTCATTCAGTAGTTATTTACATGGCAGTCCCAATCAAAAGTAAAATCAAATTTAAGTCTTACTGTTCCCAGTTAATCCTATGTATGACATTACCCCCTTCAACTGGCAACTGCTGCAGGGTATAGGGATCTTGGTGGATGTTGCATCCAGGTGCTTCATGGTTGGGGGCAGGAAGAGGTGGGGAACTGCTTGGTTTTGGGGTTTTTTCCCCTAAGATTTTTAGTTGCTACCACTATCTTTCAGTTGTCAAGCCATGTTAAATTCGTGCAGGTCAGAGAGGATTAGAGTTTTTGTATGTTGTGTAACACTATGATTTTGGGGGTTTAATCTCCTGTTGGTAACCATAATTTTATTACACTTTTAGCACGGAGGAAATTGGATCAGATGGAAAATAGTAATTACGACAAAGAAGTCAGCAGCATGGGGAGCCGTTCCAGTTCATCAGGTAATATAGCACATAGCAGGGCTGCCAAAACAATCCTTCGATCTTAATAAGGTTGCCACGGCGTGCTGCTGTGAGCCTTGCTCTTTCTGTGGTTTGTGTATATGCAGTGTGTGGGCAGCCTCCCATCAAAACTGACAAAATAGCCCTTAAGCACCAAAATGCACTTGGCTGAATGCAGTTGTAGGTGCTTATTCTTAATACGAGATTAAAGTTTAATGTTTATAATGTTTATATATTTTCGTTCTTTTTAAATGCCTACCTCTTTTATTTTGTTGCTTTTATGTTTGGAGGAAGCTCAGAGGACTCCAGTTTATAGAGGACTCTCTTAAATGCTGCCAGAGGGAAAACAAAAATGAGCAGTGGCTTCCAACATTGTTTAATTGCACTATTGACAGTTGCAACTGTGTAAATGATAAATCAATTACACTGATGCCTCTAAACATGCTATTTGTGTAAAATTCATTACTTTCTATCTGGTTAGAAGTAATGCAGTTATCTTTAGCACTGAAAACATCTCCTCTTTTCTTCTTCAATATCTTTGGGTTTTAAGTTTGGTTAGTTCTGTCAGTGTCCTGTAATCTCACTGTATAAGAGAGATGAATACTTAGAGAGAAGAACAGAAAGAAAAGAAAATATTTCAAGCTCTAAGTGATCAGTGCTGCAGAGTGTTTATACATAGGGCTTTTGTCAGTCTGTACGCAGTTTTCATAGTGTTGTAATTTTACTGGATTCCAAAACAGATATGTTTAAAATCACTCAGTCTTGTACAAAGTAATATTAATGAATATGAAGGTACTTACGCAGGAATAAGCATTACTGAAGCAAGCACACTTATGTTAAAGGAGCTATGCCCATGCTAGGGGACTACACTGCTGTTTCAGCATGTGTCATTTAAATGGTATAAGGATTGTTTATATAAAAACCCACTAACATATAAGGGAAACTGACATTCTGAAGAAAATATCCTAAGCCACTGAAATGTAATGAATGCATGCACTGCACTAGTGGAGATGTTTTACCTGGTATAAAAGCAAAAAGAGCTTTTACAAATATGGATGTGTTGGCAGGGTCCCTTAATGCACGCAGCAGCAATGAGGATCGGTCACCTGAGAATACTGGATCTTCAGTAGCTGTGGATAGCTTCCCAGAGGTGGACAAGTCTGTCTTGGTTGAAAGAATACTAAGGCTACAGAAGGCACATGCTCGAAAAAATGAAAAGATGGAGTTTATGGAGGATCACATTAAACAACTGGTGGAGGAAATCAGAAAAAAAACAAAGTATGTTCTGAGTTCTGTTCATACAGTTTTTCAGTGTTGAGCTGGTACACTAGACAAGTATTCTGGGTTTTATGTAAGACAAATTGTCTAAATGAAAATACTTAAAACAATAAAAATACTGCAGTGACAGTAAATCTCAAAGGTACGATTAGTCTTGGGGTTTTTTTCTCCTTATCTTTCCCCAGCAGTTACAGTAATTGCTGAGTTGTTTACTACTAAAATTTTTCAGGAGGAATAGAATGGTGCAGGTGTTTTTTGGTAGCAAAATGGTCACCAGGTGGCTGATTTAAGGTGGACTGCTGCCACTGGTTAGCAGAAGAGTCCATTCTCTTCATGTGCTTAAAAGGGTGCTGATTGCAAGTGTTTGTTTTTGAAGGAGAATCTGCATGATTCCAGATGCTAGTCTGGCGTGCATATCAAACAAACAGTGTGTCTGAGCCAAAGGTGGATGGTATTTAACATGTGAGAGAAGATTCTGCTTACATGGGAATCTCATCTTACAGGGTGATGTCTGGAACTTCAGTTAGGAGGCGAAGAAATTGTAGCATATACCTTCCTCTGGAAAGTACAGTTGTCTGTTAAGTACAGTCCTTGCTTAACGAGCCTATACATTTATGCCCATCTGGTACCATTTCATAGAACATGATCACAGCCTGAGAAGACTCTTGAGCAGAGACTTTGTAATTTTTGTCTCATCTGTAAAAAGCTTAAGATTCCCTGTCTCGAGTCTTTCAGCAAGGAAAAGTGGAGAGGCATTTTTAAGTACCTTTTTTTGAGAAAGTAATATTGCTACTGGAGCAAAATACTTCTAAATATGTAAACCTTGCACACTGTAGTGACTCCGCTTACCAGCATGTCCTATAGTACTTGTGGTATCCCAGGTTTTCCTCTGACCTAGAAATCGCAGGAGTTGATTTTTACTGCCTTTTCAGTAATACAGTACTGCTTGAAAATAAAATTACTCTTATGTCAGGAATCTGAAGTTACTTCAATGTCTGACTTTTCACTGCCTTGTAATGCTGTAATGTTTTTTTTTAAATTTCCCTCCCCCAGAATTATTCAGAGTTACATTTTGCGGGAAGAAGCTGGAACACTATCATCAGAGGCCTCTGACTTCAACAAAGTACACTTGAGTAGACGAGGCGGGATTATGGCATCTCTGTATACATCTCATCCCGCAGATAGCGGTCTCACGTTGGAACTCTCCTTAGAGATAAACAGGAAGCTGCAGGCTGTGTTAGAAGATACACTACTGAAAAATATTACATTGAAAGTGAGTAGCTATGCCAGTTCTTCAGCACATTCTTGTGGTTCTGTGATACTGCCTTCAGAGAGATGCATGCTGTTAAAAGGAGGAGACTTTTCAGAAGTCGGCTCATTGTGAATTGGTGACGCTGGCAGCATTGGGTTAATCAGAGTTCTGTAACGTGATCCATGCTGAACCTCTGTTTTGGGACCCTCACTGTATGCTGTACTAACGGGCTGCTGCTTGAAATAAATTCTGGGCTGCGTGTGCATTCAGTGATGAAGGGCCTCTCCATGCTCTCCCCCAGTAACGTGGAGCCAGGGGCATGGGCTCTAAATGCCTGGCCCTGTGCCAGTAGCTGCTATTGAGCTATTGGGGCAGCATGTCTGCTGCAAGGGAAAGGTGGCGGGCTGGAAAACATTGTGCAGGCTGCTAGCCGGACTGCAGTGTTCTGCAGAAGTTGAAGATCTCTTCCTGTAATTATCATTCCCCTTGAACGCTATACTTTCTAGACAGCCTGTAGAATATTAGTAACCGCAAAAAAAGACTTGCTGAGAGCTTTGCATCCTTTATTGAAATGAGTTTGGATTTCCCCAACTCTCTCTAATCATTTGCACTTGTTCTGGATACTTGAAAGTATCGACCTGCTGACATAAACGGTAATTTTAATGTACTAGTGCATTTTGTGCTGATTGACTCATTTTTCCCTGTGTAACTTACCCTATCCTTTTTCCCCCCACAAAGGAAAACCTTCAAACTCTAGGAACAGAAATAGAACGGCTTATTAAACACAAGCATGAACTGGAACAGAGAATAAAGCAGACATAACTAAAACTTTTATGGAATAACCAACATGAAGATGCAAAAAAGGCAGGTGCTACAGACCACTGTTTTTTACATTTTTCCTGAAATTTGATTGCCTGCCAGCACAAGCATCTGGTATTTTGCATATACAGCCTTTAACCATACAGACTTACTCGCGTGAGAGATCTACAGGGTTTGGCATCAACGTGGTTCTGTCTACCCAATACCAGCCTGAGGTGTTGCTGAATTTTACTACACACTACATTTATCTAAAACTTTATTTGAAATGACATACAGATGCTTTGCAGTGCATACTATGTTTTGAGTGAGTTGCAGTGAGATTTTAATTTCTGCACTGTATAATTAATCAGTCTCTTAATGATGGAGCTTGAAAAAATAAAACCAATTATGTCTTAGTTGCTGTTGAACATATCCAGTGTTACTGAGCTTTAAGGGCTTTCAGATGTTATTTCCTTTCTTGCATATTATTTCTGATACTTAGGTTGATTAAGCATTTTTGACACACGCATGGAAAAATGCTTTGTCACAAAATCTTGTTTTTTACGTGGTGGCCATGATATTGCGTATTTTCTGCTTTAGATAACATTCAACTGGTCAGTTTCTTTATTTGAAAGAAGTGAAACAACAGTAAAACTAAGGGATTAAGAAGCTTTCTGATTCAGTTGTTGAGTATGTAGAATTGAAACAAATGTCAATTCAACAAATACTGTAAACCCTTGATCTTTAGACATATGGATCTAAAGAAGTCTGATACCAGATAATTGGTTAATAAAGTTCGCTGGCCTTCTGCATAACTAACAGCTTTTAAAAAGTAGGAGTTTTAACTGCCCGTTGTTACGTATGTACAGGTAGACATCATGATTGCATCTGTTTTCAGATGATCAGAAAATCTGTTTTCAAAAACAAATGGAAGCTAAGTTTTCTCATTAACTGTGGCTAGACCAGCCAGTGAAAGTAATGGTAAGAAATGCAAAATATATCTAAATGGGGTTTTAATCTATTGGTTGGACTGTGAAAGCGGCACAGAAATCTGTGCAACTCCTTAATTTTACTTTCGTGAAGAATTAGTTGGTCAAAATGGCATGAACTGAAGAGCTGTTACTTAGTCCTTCAGTGGCTGAGATGGTGATGGAGGAAGAGTATCAAGGTGACAAGATTCTGGTTAGTCACAATGTCATATTCACATTTTACTTCCAGGATAAGTAACTTACAGGAATTGAAGTATGTCTATTCCAGCAGTAAATGCATAGATTTCTGTATTTATTGCCTTTTGACCAAAATGAATTGACCAGATCACAGTGTAAATATATACTTCGGGTTTTTATTAAATACTTGAACTTCCTATTATCATGAAAAAAAGATTCAATGTACATCTACAATAGCAATGCTTTAGCTATTTTAATCAGAAAGGATACTTGGGGTGGGGAGGGAGGGGATCTATCTTGCCGAAGGCACCATTTGCATCATACACAAAACAAGAGGCCTGAATCTGGCAGCACGCGGGGGGGGACAATTTATCAAAGCATCTAAGTGACTTAGGGGTGTGTGCTCCATTTTCAGGTGCCACTGAGTCACTTGAGCTTTGTAATGAACCAAATTGAGCAAAAGGGCCTGATTTGGTTTGAGTAGTTTGATGCAAGACAGTGAAACTTCCTTTTTACTTTAAAGATAGGCATCTCTGAAAGTCCTTGCGGGATCAGGACCTGATTTGTGGTCCAGAGAGCTTCAGGAGTCTTGGACGGCAGGTCCTTTCAGTGTCAAAGGATTAAGTATTTCTTTAGAAAGGGAGGGTGGAAACAAGTTATTTAAAACCTGACCAAGCATTGTAGACACTGTGAGCCTTTAATCCGGGTGGGTTTTTATACATCTATTTTTCTAATTCCTGAGAGCAATGGTTATCTGAAGTGTTAGGGAATTTGGACCAGTCCAGTCACGGGACTACCTCTGCTTTGCTGTTAAGTGATGTGAAGAGGAAAATACCTGGCTCTGCTGAAACAGATTTGTCACCAGCTTCCAAGAAGTGTGTTGTTTGTGACTGAACTAGAACTTCTGCTGAAAGAAAGTGTTTGGAACAATTTGCATGTCAAAACATAGCTTAGCTCTTGTATGTTTTGTGTTTTCATGTTTTAATGTACCAGATCTCTGGATATTTTCAGGCATTCAGCTGAATGGCTCCAGTATTTTAGATACCATGTTAACACTGTAATCATTTAATGTATGTTCTCCGGGTGTACAATGTGAATGAAGGAGAGGTGTGGTGCAGATGGAATAAGTGCAATGACATTGTGGAAATTCTTATTTCTTTTTGGCATGGTTGTTTCTCCTTTTAAGTTATTTGAGAAACCTAGTTAGCTGTCCTGCCCTGCTGGGAATCCCGCTCCCTCTCAGTAGCACTAGTAACTTTTCAGACTTTTTTCCTTGGTTATGGAGACACACAAAGCAGCCAAAATATCACATCGTTTATTGTGCACGGTATTTTCGTGGACCAAAGTCGTCTTCTACAGGTGTTATTTTAAACATACCTGGTAGAGACGGAAATTTCATTCTAGCTCGCACATTGGCAAATGACTCTCTATCCAGTAAGCCCAGAATGTGATGAATACATGACAGGGTCAGCCAGCAACTTTGCTTAATGATGTTGCTCATTCCCGAGAGGCAGTGGTGGACTAGCCATGAAAATGTTGCTGGCAAGCCACCTGCCTGTTGTTTCCATGGGGTAGATCGTCAGGAGTGTAGTATTGTTGGTGCATGTAACAAGAACACTTCTGTGAAAAGGTGTGTTTCTGTGGGGTGGTTCACGCAGGTGAGCAGCAGCTGGTGCAGAGTGGGTGCACAGCTTGCGTAGCAATCGCATTTCCCTTACCCTTGTTTTGGAAACTTTTTATGTTATGAACCTGAGATTGAAAACTGTCCTCAGATAAACTGAATTTTAGAGAGAAGCTGATAAACTAATTTTGAAGGCAGTCTGGAGCAGTTAGCTACATACCTAACATTTGAAATTAGACATGTCCATTAGACATGTAATTGCCACAGGCTGCTTTTGAAAATTCCAAGCTTGCAGCTAGTTGTGTCCTGCAGGCTTAAACATCTGTTTCTTAAATACTCAGTGTGCTCTTTTATTTCAAACATCACACATCTAGATGTTGTTAGAGGCCCCGCAGGAAAGCTGCCTATGCTTTTCCACCCTCTGTAAAATTCAGCACTGTCGTTGTCTAAAGCCAGACCCTCTGAACTGAAGAATACCATTTTATGCTATAGAAATCACTGGCTTTCTGCCACATAGATTTGTGCAATGTTTTTAATTTTAGTCTCCAGAAAACAGTGGAGATTGAATTATTCTCCCCCTCCCCCACCAATATGTTCTCATCATCTTCACTTGTTGCTGGCAGCACCTGCAGTATCTCCCTCCAGCTACTAAAACTGAAGTTACTCTCTTGAAATATTTTTCATTACAATATTTTGGTTCATAACAAAAAAAAAAAAACAGCCAACCAAACAAAACCAAATCAGATCTCTGGCTTCCACTGAATCGGGTGTAAAGCTGAGTGCCCACATGCTGCAGAGACCCGAATCTAGGAAGGGGGTTCAGAGAACAAGGCCTGTCCGAATGGGCCGTCACCCTTCCCGCTGTCAGTGGAAACAACTGTGATGGTCAATGTCAGCAGTAGGTGGCACTAGAAATCAAATTTACTGTGTCTCCACCATGACCTGAAAACTGTCGAAGGGCAGGTGGCTGTGTTGCAGAGGGAGCTGGGTGGTATTTAGACCTTTTCCAAGATGGATGGGGGTTTCCTTCCTGTTTTCGTGTTCTAACTGAAACTATGTTGAATCTTCCAATATATGTATGTATGTTGTCTGAATATACACAGAATGTCTATTGGTTTAATTTTGTAGATACCTGTTTCTGTATAAAGTTTTTGAAGATATCACTATACATTATGTATATATTGTACTTTGAAATGATAAACATACAACTGTGTGAAAGCCTGGTTTGGGTCTGTGGTTTGTACCATTGCTGATTTACTGCTGCCTAACTCTGGATTGCGCTGACCGCTCTCAGTGAAGGCCTGTGGTGGCGGCAGCAGGGTGCTCCGTGCCGGGTGAGCACTCATCTTTAGTGAGTGGGAGCCTCCCCTTCTCACAGTGCAGAAATGTGCTCATGATGCTTGTAAACAAGTACTCTGGGATAAAAGCAGCTTAACTGCCAGCAAACTGTTCTTGCCAGCATGGGTGCTGGGAGGGCACCATAAAAGCCCCTTCTTGTTTCCCCTCAAGTGGATGTAACTATATATAACTACATAATATGATCTGCGGTTGGAGGCATTGGTACTACCCACAGCTTGGCAGGGCGATGCTTGCTGCCAGCCTGTACTGTTCTATTGCACTATCTAAACAAGAGGTGGCAGTGCGTCTTTGCCGCATACCTCTGGTACTGTGAGTTGGTTTTAACAGCAAAGGCAGGGAAAAAAGGGCTGCACACCTTTCATACTGTACTTCATCTCTTGGAAATGGGTGAGACTTTTCCATCCAAAGGACAGGGGATAGGTGTGCTATAACTAAGTACTGCTGCGAGCTATTGCCAATCCCAGTAAGTGGCCTTCATGCTGGAGTCCTCTTTTCCCTTGTGTTATGTGAATTTGACAAACCTATAGTCCCAGTAGCAAGGGCTGGTTCCCTTGGCCACAGCTCTGCATTTGGGACACTATTTGCTGCTCTGGTTGGTTTATTCCCTTGCAGAGACCTAATGTAGTTTGGTTTTTAGCAATGATATTGTTTTAAAAAAAATAAAAAGTGGTGCTGTCAGATTGCTGGCTGTTCATTGTGGCTATGCTTATATTAAAAAATCTGGGAATCAGATTTGTATGGGCTGTCCTGCCCTTGCAACCTGATTGTAGGGAGACAGAAAAAAGACCATGAAGGGAATAATTTATGGGGTTTATTCCAGTATCTCCCAGAGTACCTTAAGTTAGAGAAGGAGGTGTCCTATTTTCTATTGAAATTTAATGTCAAACTACCACTAGCTTCCTGGGATCAGGGTGAGGGCTCCCAGTAAGTTTTCTGGTTACTGTTATCTGTATGACCCTTTGCTGGAATTGTTTTGCAGTTCACCCTTTTTCTTCCAGCCTTTTCCACTGATAGCAGATACAGCTCTTGCTGACAGATGGGACCAAAAATCAAGACTTACTTGTGCTCCGCAAGTACTTAGTGCTGCTGTTTGGAAACAACAGCTTGAAGCTAAACTTCCTCAAATACTAATCTTGGCTTTGGTGGTATTTGCAAGTAGCTGTTTGGTGACCAACTTCTCACCCCCATTTTACAGATAGGTCTGTATTTCAGGCTGACACAGCACAACTATATGTGTAGAGGAAGGGTTCTCACGGCACATTACTGTTAAGTCCTCAGTCGTGAAGCAAGCCAGTCTGATACTGGGGCTGTTGGGTAATAAATATATAACCCAAGGCTAACAGTTTACTTGTCTAGCTGACTGTGAAAGAGGAAATTGGCGCTGCTATTTTTCTTTCCCTCCCTGCTCTATTCTAAGGGCTTTTTTAATAGAGAGGTATGGTTGGGATTTTGTTGTTGCGGTTGTTTTTAGGCTATTTTGCATTAAACCACAGTGGACCTGTGCCAGATTTTGCAAGATTTTTGCGTGCATAAATGTAACTGTTGCGGTAGACGAGTGCTGCCGAACAAGTTGTTCTCATCTAACGTGTATAAATATGCCGATAGATGTGTTTGTTTGCTGTTCTGCTCTGGTGGATGCCCTGTAGTCAGGAAATCCTTCGGCCTTAAGGTTTTGCAGGGCTCTTTACCACATGCAGCCACCCACTGATCTCAGCGAGGCTGCTCTAATGCCTCAAGTGAAGCACCTCACTGACTAAAAGGCTGAATCCATTCTGGTCTGAATGTCTATGGGCTTCTTAAGAAGTTTCTATTTAAAAAATGATCCCACGTGTGTGGAATAAGGAAAAGCAGCAGATGAAAGCACAGAGAAGTCTGCAAGCTCTAACCAAAATGCCGGTGTTTTACACAAGGTAGGTGAGCACAGCTGTTCCTTCAGGGTGGCTGGCGAGTCCTTAAACGCTGCCCTGGGCCGTCCAACCCGCAGTTCTTCAGGAACCAGTGCTGCCTTTGGAGATGGCTTGAAGCAAGGTGCGAACGTAGGGCAATGTTCTTCAAGCTGTGGTGTGCAGCTTCTGCAGCCTGACAGAAGGGTTTGTGAGGCTGCACTGTGAAAGCAGCTGGTTAAAAATACTCTGAAAATGATAAGATCTGAAATTATTTTAACTCCAGTCAGCGCCTGGCACAGGGGAGAGGAAGAAGGTGAGAATCCCTTACATCAACACTGCGGGTAAAAGCAGTATATGGCCAAGTTACGGGCTGAAAAAACAAGCCTAG